GGGGCTCTCTTTGATAAGGAGAGTAGATCCATTAAAGAGAAGTCTATAGATTTGTACTTAAACAATGAAAGCCCTCAAGGCGACACCCAGTTAAGCCTCCAGTTTGTGAAAGGAAAATGTGGAAGGGGCTTTTTGCTCCTAGAAAAGCACAACAGAGAAATGCTACTACTGTGAATGAAGTGGGCCAAGGTGAATCCCAGGCTAAAAAGATGCAAGAGTGAAGAGCTCATTGATTCTTCTTCCTTGGTTTCAGAGAGCTGCTGAGGCCAATCAGTGTCCAGCAGGGGCTTCCCTTATAAAGAAGGCTGTGGCAGGTCAAGAAGATCTGACAGGTCATTGTATGAAGCTGTGAATGTGAAGCCTGGTTGGCAGTGGAGACCCTAAGACCCTGGAGCTGATAAAACTGAGACATCTGCCAAGGAGAGCTGAGCGGTACCAGCCAAATTGAGAGAAGTATGTTACACGCAGCAAAGCTTGAGGGTCTGAGCAAACTAAGCCCATTGGAAGTAAAGTCTCAGAAGATGAGCATGGAGTTACTGGATTTGGTGTTTGCCCTGGTTTCAGTCTTGTTTTGGTTCAGTATTTCCCCACTATGCCTCCATTCCTACCTTTTGGAATGGGAATGTGTGTTTTGTTTCATTGTATGTTGGAAGCATGTAACTTGTCTTTTGATTTTACAGGGGCTTATAGTTAAGAGATTGTCTTGATTTTCAGGAAGGATGTGGGACTTTTAAATAGTACTGAGACTGTTAGAGACTATGAGGACTTTTAAGGTTGGACCAAATGAATTTTGCATTATATATGGTCATGAGTCTTTGGGGGTTAGGAGGTGGAATGTGATGATTTGAATGACATTGTCTCCCATAGGCTCCAAATTTTGGGACAATTTGCCCCTAGTTGGTGGTGCTGTTTTGGGAAGTTTTAGGAGGTGTGGTTTTGATGAGAGCCCATCATTGGGGCATATTTTGAGCATTTGTAAGCCTTACCAGGTTTCCCCTGTCTCTCTACTTCCTACTCCTGCTTGAAGATGTGAGTGGTCAGCTTTCTGTTCCAGCCACCTTCTGACACCTGACATTATAGACTCTTTTCCTTTTGGAACCACAAGTCAAATAAACTCTTCCTTCTGTATGTTGCCTTGGTCATAGTGTGTAACATAGCAACAGAGAAGGAACTAATAGAATGTCTAAGGCTGCTGTTTGGTGCGTCTACGAACTATCACTTCCCTAAGTGGTTTGTCGACGTGTAGATTTTTAAACTTACTGTCAAGATCTTTTTCTACAGAAAAATATTTTTAATGGAATTAAAGCCAATGTGACTTTATATGCCTTTAAATGTGGAGAATCCCAGCTGAATGATGGAGTTCAAAGTTGCTCAGGTACTTCCTACACTGCTTTTTTTCTTTTGCAAAGAAGATGAAATACATGTTGAAAGGCACTGTGCCCGTTCTCTGCTGTTTCTAGAATGTCTCAAATAGGGAAATAATTAGCATTCAATATTTTCTACATTTACACACACATGATGGACCTAAGCTCACACTAAGGTTTGTGCTGCATGAGGCCTCTCTGGCCGAGTTGCCATGACAGTGAAGAGCTTCAGACAGTGCAGATGTCTCTTTCAGTTGGGATGGGGCTCAGGAAGGAGTTCCCATCTCAGCCTTGTGGCTGCCCTTTTTGTACAAAGAGCAGCTTGCTGTGCAGTGCTGTTTTCCCTGCTGGCGCAGAAGTGCAAGGAGATCTGTTCGGAGCTGGCTGACCCCAAGCTCCTTCCTGTGTCTTGAGACATTGTAGCCATTTGGAACATCTCCTTTAGCCACGATGCCAACATCTCCCAAGCTTCATCTCCTGTCCTGAATCTTGTCATACCAGAACACTGAATAATAGTTCATGTTCTGAGAGCATGCCAGAGTCGTCTTTGTTCCTGTGTGTGTAAGGTGTCTGGGTGATTCCAGCATCTGTGAGACCTGTTAGAAAAGAAAGGCTAAGGGAAAATCAGTTTTTAAGAAATAACATGGTTTTGTGGAGAGAAAGAAAAGATTTGGGGCAAGAACATTATAAAACCATGAAAGAGTTTTCCAGCAAAGCACAGAACTTGCCTGCTCCTAGCAGACAAAAGGTCACACAAAAGAATGCAGGGATCATGGCAGGTTAGTGAGAAGGGAACTGTCCCAGCTAGATGCTGTGATCTTAGCACTGAGAACTGGAATTCTGAGGCTCTTCTCTAACAGAGTGATGGCTGGGCCTCTGATGTCACCCTGCCCCACCTCTGTAGCAGGATCAGATACTCCTCTCTGTTGCTCAGCAAAGCTAGCCAGAAAGGTGGGTATAGCAGCAAATACCGGGAGCTGAGGGTAAACCACGTGCCAATGGTTTCCCACTTTCCCCTCAGGCAGTTTGTTCTCTTTCTGCACCTGTCCTGGTATCAAAGCTGTTCTGCCAAAACTCTCATGTCCCAGCACTTGTACAGCTGTAGGAAACCTAACAATAACTGAACACATCTCAACATATCTATGCCTAATATCTGACCCAAGCCCACGTTTTTCTTAACCCTTTCCCTCCTTGGTTGCTCTCCCAGACTCCCTAGAGATGTTTGGTGTCCAGTAGCATCAGAGTGCCATCTTGTGGTCAATAAATGAGGTTTTTATGTTACTTTTTCTGCCATCTTCCAAGGAATTCTGGGAAATGTCTGAGTAGTTAGCAAGAAAAAATTCCAGAAGTTCCATGGGGTACTTTTTAATGATCAATTTTCTATTTATCTGCTTATTTATTTAATATGTATGTGCTTGCATGAATTTAGGTGCTCCATGTACACACAGGTGCCCTGAGGTCATGGATAGCCTAGAACTGGAATTAGAAGCAGTTGTGAGCCTGGTATGAGTGCTGGCGACTTGAACCCAGGTCCTCTGCAAGAGTTGTGTGCACAATCTTTTTTTTTTTTCTGGACTTGTCCCAAAGGGCACACAGTTTATCAGGCAGCAACTGGGAAATCAGCAGGTGGACTTAGTCTTCCAGTTCGATCTTCTTGATGGCTAGGAGTTGGGTGAGAACTTGGCAGCCCTGAGGAGCTCATTTGTGTGACATTCAGTGATGGTCTTGATGTTCTAGAAGGCAACCCCAGGTGCACCTGTGCACAGCAGACAAATGGCCTAATTCACTTGGTGCAGAGGTGACACATCCATAGCCTTCCATCTCACTGTCCCAACTCACCTAATGCCTGTTAAGTCTTCCCCGGGGCCACTGTTGATGATGGCACTCACCAGGACCTATAAGAGTGATCTGAATGATCTCAAAGGCATGTTTGACAATGCACACAGCCATAAGCTTCTTACTGTTGTTGCGATCACATATCATCATGAAGTTGGTGCAGCAGTCCATGATGGAGTGTAGTTTTGCAGAAGCACTTGGCAGTGTACCGTCCTCCACTGTGAGGCAGGTACTTGATGTAGCTCTCCTTCATGAATCAGTCACGCGTTCTTCAATCCTCTACCTTCTTGTTTAAACGAGACTAAAAGTTTGTTGTTAACAATAAACACCCTAAGAGCCCTTCATCCTGGAATGTGTAAAGTGACTGTTTTACAAAGCTTGACAATCCTGCTGCTACTTTTAGTGTCACAGTTTGCACTGAACAGAAGAGTTGAAATGATTTCTGGATGTAATTAAACCGTAAAAACCTTCCTCAGAGCGATAAGCAAAAAACCAAAGCAATTCTTCTCTCAGTGAAACTATAGAACAAAACAGAAAGAAAGCAATCTCTATAAAATGTTTGGGAAGAGTGGACAGCTCACAACCAAGCCTATAACAAACAGCACAAGTTGGACCAGACAGGTTAAAAGAAAATAAGGACACAAAGTTGTGTGGGTAGGTAAGGGGGTGTGGATCTGGGAGGATTTCAGAGAGGGGGTGAATATGATCAAAATACATTCTACGTAAACAAAGTAAAGTGTTTGGACATGGCATCATTAAAATAAGATCAAGACAACTCCATGCTGAGGACATCATTCTTAGGAAGGAATTTGGTATACTGAGCAATTGTAATTTCTGATAAGTGGGCTCAAAGGATCTGAGATTCTTTTACTAGCTGTGCAAGGGCACCTCTATGGCACCTGAGTCTGTGATATGCAGTTCCAATTTTGGCCTACTGGACTGTCTCTGAGGACTATCAGAAACTCCAGACATAGATTCTTATCAGCTCCCCAGATCAAACTAAAGTTCTACCCACAGATGGGCAGACAGTTTTATTACAATATAATAAATGAGACAGTATATAATGATGAAAGTCAGGACATTGATTTTTAATTATTTTTTTTCATTAGCAACATCAAGGAAATTATTTCAAATTGAAGGTTTTGGTTGGGATTGAAAAGCTGGGTTTCTAGATATTGCTGTAAGGTCCTAAGATGGCACTAGGATGTGAGTGAAAGTCTGTCATTACAAGAGCAGTGGTAAATGAAAATAAAATGAAGAAAACAAAATGCTTAATCTAGGCAGATGAAGTCTTATTATTCCCATTTTCCTGTTTATCAAGTAGCTGCCACAAAAGTAGTAAAGATTTTGAATTTTAAAAGTAGGACAAATTTGATAGTATGCATAAGAAAACTTCCAACGTGACAGGGATAGAAGATGCAGCTAAAGAAAGATTTTAACTAAGGACATGACTTCAAACTTCTCAGATACCACACGGGTCACTCAGCCACAGGAGAGGAGGAATGCACCCTGTGCAGGACTCAGGCTTGCTTGGGAGCAGCAATCTCAACATCCTGCAGATGACTATCCTGAAGGACAATGCTAAGATGTCCAGTCCTTGCTCTGTAGAACGCAGCTGTCTCTGGAGTTTTCTAGAATGCAATGGGCCTCAGTTGTTTCTCTTACTCACACTCATAGTCAGTATTTCATGAGTTCTTCCGTGATGCCTTTCTATAAAGGACAAGTGATGTCCACATCTTCACAGGATCTCTACAAGCAGTAAGAAGAAAGAAATCTGAGTTTTATGAGCAGGAAGGAGCTGCCTGTGCCATGCTGTGGCTAAGCTGCTGGTTCAGAGGTACAAGCCTGTATCCTTCTGCCCTGTGAGCTGGATCTTCAGAGTGGAGAAGGAGCCCTCAGGCCTCACTGCAGAGAACCGATCACTAGACAGCCCAGATTGGTCTGCTACAATGTTACCCTGGAAATACACCACAAACTCTAGGCCCTGCCCTAGCTTCTGTTGGTACCAGTAAAGAACAGTATGACCAGAAACTAGATCACACCTGACAATTACATTCGGTCCCTTCTTTGTGACTTTGAACGTGGGAGATTGAGAGACTCCAGCAACAGGGTGGTCTGTGGAAACAGAAGCTGGGAACAGAAATAAAAAATAGTCCTTACACACACACATACACATATTCACACACTGAAACTGCTTGGTGTTCTAAGGACTCACCTGTCTGCCGAAAATGGAAGGCCACCCAACAGAGAAGCCCGATTCCATGGCAGGGTCAGTACAGGATGGAGGCTCACAAGATCTGAGTCTTAATGAGTAAGAGGAGGATGATGGCGACCCTTCTTCTCACATGGCAGTTCCCATGGTGACTTCACTTCCTCTACCAGTCCCTACAACCACACAATTTGCATTATCAGTACTTGGATGAATGAATCAAGTATTCATAAATGTATTATCTACAAAACCAATGGGCCATCATTTTCAGCCACTGAGTTGGAAGAATCCTAGAGGGAAAAAGCTGCAGTGTCACGTCAGGGAGAGCATGGAGTTTAGGTATGTCCAAACTACAGCGCACTTTCTATCCTGGAATATTTATACTCAAGCCCAAGACTAGTAGAATCAGAGCTGAAAAGCACCATCTCCAATGCGACATCCCAAAGAAAAGAGCTGATAGCAATAGTGGAGACAACTGAGTCCCAAGTCAAGGCCAAACCTGACTGACATTCTTGGGAGATGCATCTCAGCACACACTGCCCAGAATCCTTAGAGATCTAAGACCCTAGGGCTGAGAACTCTAACCACACACCACCGAGTTTCATGGTGCCTCCCTGGACTTTATGTGCAGATAGGATGCTGCCGTGCAGCACTGTGGAGTAACTGATCGCACAGAAGTACACAGATGTCTGGGAGGGGGAGGCTGACTCCAGAATGAGGGAGAAGATTTCTGTGCTTGGCCTGGATACTTTATACCCCTCGGGGATGTCTCCTTTTTCATTGTTGCCTGTATAAAGTGAGTAATAGATCAGCCTCAGCCCCAGCCCTGGATCCTGTCGATACCAGAACATGGTGTCAAGGTTCATATCTTGGGTGCATCTTATAGTTGCATTCTGTCCTGCCTTCCAGAGCAGAGAGTTTGGGATCTGAATGACACCAGCATTCACTGGACCTGTAGAAAGGGAGAAGAGGCTGATGCTTCCACATCGACAGAAAGGTTTCATGCTAGTACCTTAGAATGCCAGGCTGGGTCCTGTCCAGAACTCACCTGCCTGCAGTAGACAAAAGACCACACTGCACAGTAAACTGAGGTGCATGGCCTGGGCTGGGCAGAACAGAGGAACTGACTGAGTTTCTGTGTTGGAGAAAGAAATGGGGCTATAGAGGGAATGATTCCGTCTTCTCATTCTCTCTGCCTGGGCACCAGAGGCTTCCTTTCTCTGGGGCCACACCCCCTTTCTCAGAGGATCAAACCTAATGTAAATACGCACCTAGTTCAAGTAGAAGGCAGTTATCCAAACTGACACAGCTCTTCTTGGTATTTTTTTTTTCTATAATAGTTTATAAATGCTATGTATACTGTCTTCCTGTGGTGGTATAATTCCTCATTAATACTCTAGTTTTTGTTGACTAAATACTTCTAGAATCAGAGGGAACACCCTTGTGGCTTCCTGGTAGCTTTTGGTTCATGTGTCTTATGTTCTCTCTTAAGTATCATTTTCTAGTTTATTTAATTGACCATAATCCTGCTGAAGTTCTCTAACTGCAGTGGTTCTCTCTGATGTCCGGTTTTCAAATCACCCATCAGCATTGAAGGAATTGATTTGCTGTTTCCGATCAATTTACTGATGGATAGGACAACTGTCAAATGTCAACTGAGTGCATCTGCTTTCCATGTTGTATGACCATAATCCTGCTGAAGTTCTCTAACTGCAGTGGTTCTCTCTGATGTCTGGTTTTCAAATCACCCACCAGCATTGAAGGAATTGATTTGCTGTTTCCAATCAATTTACTGATGGATAGGACAACTGTCAAATGTAGCAAGGCCATATCAACTGAGTACATCTGCTTTCCATGTTGCACACCATGCTCATGATTTGCCTCCCTTTGTGAACTGTGATGGACACTCAGTGTAATCAATCACCTATTGGCAAAAACCTGTTGGCTGGCCACATGTTGCCTGTCTCAAAATAACTTCCTTAAAAATGATTTAGTTTGTCAAAATATCATTATAAAGCAATTTGAGTGGATTTGTGGATAACAAAAAGAAAAAGACTAAATTTTGTAGCATTAGCAAAAGGAGTGAAGGGATGTGAAGGACCTGAGGGAACTGACAGATTCCAGGGTCAGGACAAGTGCTGCATTCTTTCTTGATAAATAGTCCATGAATAATGGCCCCTTATGCAGGATCTCTGTCATGAAGTACTAAATATAGAGGACTTCAAAATGCGTATTGTGCCAAAGAGCTCCAAACTTTAAAAGGCCTTATATTTAGTTTAATAATCTGCTGCAGTGATATTAAATTCTTAATATTAGACCAAAAGTCCTGAAAATAGGTTCCATGGTTAGGCCTCATGATTTTATGTTTCTGAATTTGTTCATTTCTCTTTCAGCATAAGCACAGGCCTGGCGTCACTCAGCATCTATGGTTCTTAAGAGAGAAGGACACAGAAACTGGCCAGAGACCTCATCAGAGCCTGATGTCATAACCACATATCGGAGATAAGATCCAACAAGCCCATGAGTGGCCCCACATCTGTGTGCAGGACACTCATGGTCCAGGAAACAGTGCATAAGCATAAGAACTTGGTGTTCAAGGCAGAGCCAGAACAGAAACAGGGGTTTTCTAGGTTCAGGTTTGTTTCACAAGTTGGACAGTCATCGTTAGGGAAAAGCCATCCCTTCTCCCAGTTTGGTCTGATCCCTCCATAAGCAGCATCACTAACCTGTGGTTTGCTTGGCTCTAGCACATATACATGTGAGCACGAGGCCTGGCCACATGCTTCAAAATAACTTCCTTGGAAATTACTAAGTTTGTGAAAGTATTCATATAAAATAATTTGAGTGAATTTGTGGATGAGAAAAGAAATGAATGAAAAAGAACATTTTGCAGAGTCGGCCTCAACCAGCAGGCGTGACCTTCCGACAGTCATTTTTATCTCACTGCTGACCTTCAAATAGGATTGTTTAAATGTGGTCAGGTATATAACATGGCTTCAATCCTCTTAAATGATACAGACCCTCCTTGGTCTCCTAAATATTTAATGATGTATTAAACAGGAAGTGTTTGAATGGGTAGAGATTTTTAATTTGTGTTTAAAAAATACCTACATCAGGGGTGTGACTCAGCATTTAGATTCAGCACTTGGGAGGCAGAGGCAGTGAAATAGCTAGAGGCTACCCTGGTCTACATAGTGAGTTCCAGGCCAGCTGGGGCTACAGGAAAACAAAAACAAAAACAAACAATATTTGAGCAAAATTACTCTAAAAAAATAGAAATTATAGTAGGGCATGCTGGCACACACCTTTAATCCCAACACTTGGGAGGCAGAAGCAGGCAGATCTCTGTGAGATCAAGGCCAGCCTAGGATGGTCTACATAGTGAGTTCCAGACCAGCTGGGGATACATAGTGAGACCCTATTTCAAACAAACAAACAAAAAGAGAAAAAAAATACAAGAAAAAGGAAAGAAATTATATTGTCAATTATCAGACATCTAGAAAGCCCTTACGAGTGAAATTTCTCTGTCGTAGAAATGTCCCATATCTTAGTAGGGTGGATGCCGCATGGTTATATACATATCTACTGCTCTAAAATCACCAACCTGTTGATTAAAATATGTAATGTTTATCATATATGATCTAGATATCAATTGGGTTTTAAAGCATCTGACTAGGGGTGCATGCCAAATTCTCTAGTTAATTTCATGCAATGAATCATCAAGTATATGTATTTCCATTTCTGTGACTTATAATTCTTCAACTACAAAGCAATGCAGGTCACGTCCATATCTGCCTTTGTACATAGGCAGTGATGAAAGAGGTTTCCTGGGATTAGCAAATGCAATCAAAATATCTGTGCTCCCATTACATGCTAGGCACTTTACTCTTCCTGAAGCTTTAAACATTTCTGAAGTTGTCATGATGACTGATTTTATATATCAACTTGACTTTGGTAGACATTCTGGATGATTCTGTGTGGATGATTTTATATATTAACATTTAAATCAATAGAGTTTAGCTTTAAAGTAAACCAACAATTTAATCAGTACAGTGAGTCAGATTTCTTTCTGTAATACAGTGGGCTTTTCTGATCAGAAATGCAACTATAATAAAAGATCCACTCTCCCCCATGTAAGAGGGAATTGTACATCTGCACTGGAAGAGTTCCTCCTTGCATTCCAGCACCATGAACTCACCTGGACTTACCAGATTCCATAATTAGTCAATTCCATATAATGTTAGATATAGATACATCATTGATGATAGGAGACAGATAGATTGATGATGGTAGATAGATAGATAGATAGATAGATAGATAGATAGATAGATGATAGATCCTAATGGTCTGTTTCTCTGAAAAACTAATGCAGATAGATACTGTTGGTCACATTTACAGATGGAAACAAATCAGTCAAACAAGTCAAGAACGTGGCTTCAGCCTTGATGAGTTCATGTTAGAATGGAAATCAGAGCCAAGCAGATGTTTCCATCTCCATAGCTGTCTCCTGGGTAAGCAGATTTCTACTAAGAATTTTATTAGAACCTGTAGGTGTGAGGTGGATGAAGGTAGTAGCATTCTGATTTTAAGTACAAGTGTCTTTTTCATGAAAAAGATATTATAACATAGAGTTACGAATACGGGACTTAGACAAGGAACTTAGTTGTATTTTGACAGCTATTTGATGTGGTCAAGTTTTCAAACCTACAAGCCAATATCTTCATCTGTAACTAGGAATAATAATATCCCTTGTATCAGTCTTCTTTAAGACTGTAACTGTGTGACAGGTTAACTAGGCTCCAGTCAATGGGCCAAAAAATAAAAATAAAAAAACAGGCATAGTGGTGCATGCCTTTAATCTCCGAATACGGGACTTAGACAAGGAACTTAGTTGTATTTTGACAGCTATTTGATGTGGTCAAGTTTTCAAACTTACAAGCCAATATCTTCGTCTGTAACTAGGAATAATAATATCCCTTGTATCAGTCTTCTTTAAGGCTGTGACTGTGTGACAGGTTAACTAGGCTCCAGTCAATGGGCCTAAAAAAAAAAATAAAAAAACAGGCATAGTGGTGCATGCCTTTAATCTTTAAAAAATTCGTACCAAAAGCAACTTGGGGTGGAAAGGGTTTATTTGGCTTATAAATCCTGATCACAGTCTATCACTGAGGGAAACCAGAGCAGGGAGTCAGGGCAAAAACTTGAAGACAGGAGCCGAGATCATAGAACGCTGCTTACTGGCTTGCTTCTCTGGCTTGTACGCAACTTGCTTTCTTATACAGCCCAGGACCTCCTGCTCAAGGGTGGCACCACAGGCTGGAGCCTTTCGCATCAATTAGCAATTAATAAAAGGTCTCACAGACATGCCCACCGGCCAATCAGAAAGAAGTGATTCCACAACTGAGGTTCCTCTTCCCAGATGTGTCAAGTTGACAATTGAAGCTATCCAGAACACTTGTGGTTGGCTCTGTCATCTCAGGAAGATTGTACTTTCCCAAACAAATGTCCATTTCCCTTTGTGGAAACATCAAAACTCCCATGTCCTCTATGAAGGAGATCAAGGGGATTATGGGGCCTCGAAGCATGACACACAACTACAGAGCAGAAAGCTGTAACTAATGTCATGCTTTGCTTTGAACTTGTATATTAGTTAGGATTGTCAAGGAAGAGATTGTAATAATCAGTTTATGACATACCACTTTGTTAATGGAGGTCTGAGATACGCAAGACAGATTAGGGAACAGATCCATAGTGAAAAGTGAGAGGAGGGAAGCAATACGTGTTGGAAAAAAGAGACAAGCTAATGATCATGCAGGTCTGTGCAATGCTGCTGGCACAGAGAAACAGTGCAGAGTCCTTCAGCACCAAGGCACTGACATTGAGCTCAGAGCTAGAGTTACGGAACTGTTGTGCTGAAAATCGAGCTGGGACGTTTCCTTTTTCTCTCTCTTCTCCATTATAATATTGAAAGAGGAACTCGGGCCCCCGGTTCAGGGTCTTCTGGTACCAGAACACAGACAGGTGTCCAGAGAGAGGGGAACATCTCATTGTCGCTTGCTGTCCTTTGGCTTTAATCAGATGTTTTGGGGTTTGCGTGACTCCGGAATCCACTGAGCCTGTGTGTCAGGAGACAGAGTTAAGGGCAGAGCCTCCTGCTTCAGACTTCATTGGCTGAACTGTATTTCAGAAATGAAAAACACAGATCAAAGGCTTCCAAGCTGTGCCTAGGACTCACCTGCTCCCAGGAGACAAAGGGCCACGCAGCAGAGCACCCTGCAGTCCATGGCAGCAACCGGAGCCAACGTATCACCTAGTTCAGGGGTAGGGCTTCCTGGGAAGTATTTGAGGTTCTGAAGTTCTGGTGTCCGTGATAGGGATGTTACTCTCCCTGCAGGACGCCCTGGCACACTGCACCCTATGGCAAGGTGCAGGCTCTACTCAATGAGGAGCAGAGCCCACCCTGTAGTGCCCCAAACTGAAGGTGGTCAGGTTGAGCACTGTCCACACATGCTAGCAACATACTGTTTCTTGCCATATTAGTAGGGGTAGGGCTTCCTGGGAAGTATTTGAGGTTCTGAAGTTCTGGTGTCCGTTACTCTCCCTGCAGGATGCCCTGGTGGGGCGTTACTCTCCCTGCAGGACGCCCTGGCACACTGCACCCTGTGGCAAGGTGCAGGCTCTACTCAATGAGGAGTAGAGCCCACCCTGTAGTCCCCCAAACTGAAGGTGGTCAGGTTGAGCACTCTCCACACATGCTAGCAACATACTGTTTCTTGCCATATTAGCGCCACCTTTATCCACCCATGTGACTGGCCTGACCCTGATTTCCCACCCTTGCCTTCTCAATTCCTTTATCCTCCTCCATCTATTCGGGAGCATGGAAACTCCCTGTTTAGTGCATAGTAAGGAGACAACACACTTTTCCTTCCCTGAACAGAAAAGAGACTGTTTAGCTGGGTTAGCTAGTGAACTCAAACTGCCTCCTTGAGCTGAGCGGGCAATCAAGCATCCTTTACAGCCCTGCTCTCCTAGACCCTGAGGGTTCTTTGCAGCACTGTGGCGTCACAGAGCTCCCAAGTGGTAAGCACATCTCTGTTCCCTGGAGTCCCACTGAGGTGGATAGGCTCATGACTGAGCAACTGAACCAGGAACAGCAAAGCCAGCCCTTCTCACTGTCTCACACATACTCTTCCACCTCCACAGCCCGCCCAACAGCTCTCCTCTTCAAATCCACTATCCGCCCATTCAGACAAAAAATGGTGTGAACCAACATAATGATTAAAAATAAAATAAATGTTACTTTTCTATAATTAGTATCACAAATGAAAGAGTTGAGCTGTAATAACACAGACCACAAAAAGAGTGTGGTGATCTCAAGAATATCTAGCCTGGGGCTTGGAGAGATGGCTTGGTGGTTAAGAGCACCGGCTGCTCTTGCATAGGACTCGGGTTCAATTCCCAGTATCCACGTGGCAGTTAACCATCCATGATTCCAGTTCCAGGGGACCTTGACACAGTCTTCTGACCTCCATAGGCATTGCACAGCACAGGCACACTTACACATACACAGGCAATACACTCATACACATAAAATAAAAATAATAAAATATTTTTTAAAAAAGAATATCTAGTCTGGAAACACACTCCATAGATACTCCCAACCAAATAAACCAAAAAAATGAGATTGCATCCAGGCCAGAAGTCAGGAAGGACAATGTCATAATCAATGTCAGGGCTCTTACTGCCAACCAAGTCTAGAATGTCTCCAAATGAGATTGTCTCCCAAGTGACACCACTTACCACAAGGCTTTGCTCTGTATTTTCTGGGTATTAAGGACTTTCAAAGAGACCTTAAGTTGCAAAACACCTCTTTAATCATCCTGCAGCTTGCTTTTCAACCTTCTGTTACCATGCTCTCTCTCCTTGACTTTCCCAACACACCAGTTCCTTTTCTTTTAATTATGTGAAATGAACCTCTTTGATTTTACATCCACATTACATTATTACCACATAAACTTGACCTCAGAATGAAATATTCCGCCCATAAGAGAGAAGACAGATATTATGCGACAGGTTCCTCTGTTCCTGTGGTACACAGTATCAGGCCAGGTGGAGATTTTGGAGAGGATGTACTGATGTAGCATATGTGTTTCTTTTAATTATGTGAAATGAACCTCTTTGATTTTACATCCACATTACATTATTACCACATAAACTTGACCTCAGAATGAAATATTCCGCCCATAAGAGAGAAGACAGATATTATGCGACAGGTTCCTCTGTTCCTGTGGTACACAGTATCAGGCCAGGTGGAGATTTTGGAGAGGATGTACTGATGTAGCATATGTGGGAAGAATCTCTGAGCCTTGATTCCCTGGTCCTCAAAAGGCTGGAAAGCCCAGGATGCATTTTCCAGTGACCCACAACCATTTTCTTTCCCCTCCTGCGGTTCTAAGACTTCACAGACATGTCATGTCCGAAGTCGCTCCTGCTGGGCAGAGGTTTTGTGCACCGAACATCGTTAACTCTGAAGGGCTGGGCCAAGCTGCTAGCGCAGAGATACAGTGCTGAGCCCAAGCTTCAAGGCGCCGAAGCTCGGCAGCTCAGAGCAAAGGTTACCGAAAGGCTTAGCTGGCCAGTTCTCAGCGTTTTTGGTACCAGGACATACCGGGCGTCCTGGGCTAAGAGAACATTTCACTGCCGCTTCCTGGTCTCTTGCTTTGATCAGGTATCTTGGAGTTGGGGTGAGTTCAGTCTACACTGGAACGGTGGGGACACAGAGACTATAAAAGGTTGCTTAGTTATACCCTCTGCATTTGGCAAAGGACCTGCCTATGCACTGAGAAGATCGCATCCAGGCCAGAAGTCAGGAAGGACAATGCCATAATCAATGTCAGGGTTCTTACTGCCAACCAAGTCTAGAATGTCCCCAAATGAGATTGTCTCTCAAGTGACATCACTTACCACAAGGCTTTGCTCTGTATTTTCTGGGTACTAAGGACTTTGAGACTATAAAAGGTTGCTTAGTTATACCCTCTGCATTTGGCAAAGGACCTGCTTGTGCACTGAGAAGATTGCATCCAGGCCAGAAGTCAGGAAGGACAATGTCATAATCAATGTCAGGGCTCTTACTGCCAACCAAGTCTAGAATGTCTCCAAATGAGATTGTCTCCCAAGTGACACCACTTACCACAAGGCTTTGCTCTGTATTTTCTGGGTATTAAGGACTTTCAAAGAGACCTTAAGTTGCAAAACACCTCTTTAATCATCCTGCAGCTTGCTTTTCAACCTTCTGTTACCATGCTCTCTCTCCTTGACTTTCCCAACACACCAGTTCTTTCTTTTAATTATGTGAAATGAACCTCTTTGATTTTACATCCACATTACACTATTACCACATAAACTTGACCTCAGAATGAAATATTCTGCCCATAAGAGAGAAGACAGATATTATGTGACAGGTTCCTCTGTTCCTGTGGTACACAGTATCAGGCCAGATGGAGATTTTAGAGAGGATATACTGATGTAGCATATGTGGGAAGAATCTCTGAGCCTTGATTCCTGGTCCTCAAATGGCTGGAAAGCCCAGGATGCGTTTTCCAATGACCCACAACCATTTTCTTTCCCCTCCTGTGGTTCTAAGTCTTCACAGACATGTCATGTCCGAAGTCGCTCCTGCTGGGCAGAGGTTTTTTGCACCGAACATTGTTAACTCTGAAGGGCTGGGCCAAGCTGCTAGCTCAGAGATACAGTGCTGATCCCAAGCTCCAAGGCACCGAAGCTCGGCAGCTCAGAGCAAAGGTTACCGAAAGGCTTAGCTGGCCAGTTCTCAGCGTTTTTGGTACCAGGACATACCGGGCGTCCTGGGCTAAGAGAACATTTCACTGCCGCTTCCTGGTCTCTTGCTTTGATCAGGTATCTTGGAGTTGGGGTGAGTTCAGTCTACACTGGAATGGTGGGAACAGAAGATGGAAGATGAGCACAGGAGACCTTAGAGGGTCAGGGGATGGGGCACAAATCCTGGAGGGAAAGTGGAATATCGGAGGAGAACGTTCAAAATAAGGATACTTACTTTGTCTACTCCCATGAAGCAGAGAAGCCGGGAACCCATGACAGCCAAGGACAAGTTTAGGCAGGTATTGCTGTGCCCAAGAATCTGGGCCTCTGAGAGCTGGAGCTCTGAGTACCAATGCTCTGGGTGACTGTGAAGTCACTACTCTGACTCCAGCCTGTGCAAGTTACTCTGCACTCTCCCTCTTTTGGCCAAAGCATCTAACAAGCTTTCATAATCCTCCAAGACCCTGGCAGGTAGCTCTAGGGGCTCTTCACAGGGGACATGGGGCTGCATGGTGCCATAGTGCCCCCATGTGGCCTGCTGGGCAATAACCAAAGACTTGCCTTTGTTAGCGACTAAATATGTTACCACCAAGATTCATGTGTTGAAGTCCAACCTCCAAAGTGGCTGTTTCTGAAGATAAGAACTTTATGGAAGTAATTTGTGTTAAGCAAAGGCAGAGTTTTGATACAATAAGATTAATGTCCAAAGGAGATAAGTAAGGGCTTGTTCTCTGCCACATGAGGACATGGAAAGAGGTGACTGTTGACAAGCCAGGAAAAAAGCTCTCACCAGAGCCTGACCATGCTGGAATCCTGAAGTCAGCTTTCCAGCCTCCAGACCAGAAAGCAGAGAGAAAATGAAAGTCTTTCAAGTCAGGGTGGAGACATAATCTTAAAGGCAGGCCTGGTGGCCTACTTCCAACGACAGGCCATACCTGTTAGAGGCTCCTCAGCAGTGTGAATATATTGCCACAAGTTGGGGAACCAGCATTTAAAATATGAGCCTGTTTTGGACATTTCAGATTCAAACCGTAACATTGTACAGTGCTATGATATGCCAGTCCCAGCTAATATAGTTTTTCCAATGCTGTTCATGACGTCTGGGAAGTATGCCAATTAGGACCAATTTCACCTGGTAGGCACCTAACCTTGCCTGTCATGTGGTTTTTCTAGCTAGATAGACACAAACATATATGCACAAAATAATAATTATCAGCCCTAGCAGAGTCAAGATTTACCTTCCTTAATTCCACTTTTGACAGTGTAAGGGCAAAGGTCACAGAGCATTTATTTTTACTTTGAGAAGATTTTGATGAAATAGATGATTCAAGCCTGGCTGATCTTAAGGGAAAATGATAACGGAAAACTGGAATAAATTACTGAGGACATCCTGTCTCCCTTACTGCAAATAGCTTATCAAGAATTCTTGGATGCTAATAATTACATGAAGGTTTTTGTTCTTTGATGGCCCTAGATGACTCTCTGAAAGTAGGGAGACTGCCCCCCACCCCACTGCCACTCCTCTTTACCAAGAGTTTGCTAATCAACCTACCCTGAATAAACGGCATTCACTGTTTCATGCTGCTGGAGAAGTTGTTTCTTTTTCTTCTGTTTACTGTATTCTAACAATCTTTCAGTTTCTGCTACTTGACAAGAATTCAATTCCCATTTCCCTACATATAAGTAAGAATGTGTGGAGACAAATGATTAAATTCCTTAGAATTTTTCTTTGAGGCTAAAGTAGGAGATGGACTGTTCTAGCTCTCTGTGCTTACTGCGCAAGGAAGAGGGGCCCTGCCTGGATTAATGCAGGATTCAAAGCTAAGCAGGGGCACTAGGGAAAACAGGATGAGGTTCAGTTTCTGAACACTTATCTTACATATGCTCCTATAACTTGGATTATTTGCAGTATAAAGTGCTTTAAATGCAGCTGACATACCTGTCATTGAATTTAAATGGTGCATTTTATGAAAAGAATACAACTATTCTGATATAATCCATTTGTTTTTATTTAAGTACAAAACCAAACAAGCTCAAAAGGAATCCCTGAGAGTCAGCTGCATCAGACACGAGCAGTCACTCATTGATCAGCTAATGACCCAGACACAGTGACCCACACCACTGCCAGGATGCCACCAGCCTGGCTCCTCATGGTTATAAGTCATTAAAAGTCTCTCAAACAAAGGCAGTCTTCGTACTTGTAAAAAAATGTGTGTGCATAATTCATTAATACCTTTCATAACAGAAGCTGATCTGTCTGATGGAGTTTTGGGTGGTATAAAAGTGACAGTTTCCACACAAAATCATAGCAACCGCTAGTATAAATGATTTTTCCACACAAAATCATGAAATTTCAGTATAAATCGTATTGAGGAAAAATATGTTTCTATGTTCTGAAAGGAATGCCCAGTCATGTTTTATATTAATTAGTTCCAACTTCTACATGATTAGTCAACCTCGAACAGTTAAAAGAAACAGAGCAATAGCTGGTAAGCACATTGGACTCTATGATAAGTGACCATCATATCTCAGATGGAGGGAAATGCAGATAATATCATAAAGATGTGTGGGATATAAATGCCTGGGCTCTGACTCATTCTAAAATTGCAAAACCAGCCTCATCTCCCTGCTGTTTCCCTCAGGCGAAGTCAAGGAGGAAAAAGAAATACAAAGACCAGAGGTGAAGCTCATGCTGTGAAACTCTTCTGGGAAGGCAAATGCTATTTGTAGCCTCAGTATGAGTAAGACGTGAGGGGAACCTGAGTCTGCAGCCAAGAAACAAGGAAGGGAAACCTAAAATTGCAAAACCAGCCTCATCTCCCTGCTGTTTCCCTCAGGCGAAGTCGAGGAGGAAAAAGAAATACAAAGAGCAGAGCTGAAGCTCACGCTGGGAAACTCTTCCGGGAAGGCAAATGCTGTTTGTAGCCTCAGTATGAGTAAGAAGCAGGGGAGCCTGAGTCTGCAGCCAAGAAACAAGGAAGGGAGATTGCTTAAGTTCTGCTTTATCTGACTCTCTACTTGCCTTGGGATAACCCAGCAGCATTTTCAGCACAGAAATCAAGCGTAGAGTAGCTGATGCTGCAAAGGGAAGGAAGAACTTTAAAACAGGCAAGTAATATAGTCTGAATGTTTTGAGACATAATCACTGGTGTAACGAGATTAGACATGAGCCTGTTGGAAGGTGGCTAGTTCATCAAGGTAGGACTAGCGTGATTGGTGTTATTTCCCTTAAAGAGAGACCAGAAAAGCTAGCCAGCCCTCCTGTCAGGTGAGTACACAGCAAGAAGGCATCATGTATGAAACACAAGGTGAGTCCTTACCTGACAGTGAATCCCTGCAGTTTGCTCATGGACTCCAGAACCGGGGCAACTAAATGTCTGCTGTTCATGAACTGGTTGGTTTATGATATTTTGTTATAGTATTCCAAATAGAATAAGATAGTAGTTGACTGATCAGTATATATCTTCAGAATATGAATTACTGAACTAGATGAACCAAGAATTTTTAAACAAATTTGGTAATTACACCACGTGATATGCAATATACACAAGAATATAAAGGTGCCTAAAACATAAGACTCTATAAAGTTAATTTATTGCAGATTATAACAAGGGTATATCTACCATATCTGACATCCACATTTCCAGCTGTTTACATGGAAGAAAATGTTATCAGTGCTTGAGGTAAAAATAGAGGGTTTCTCTCTAATGGGAACTACAGAAAGGACACTATTGTTAAATTTACTTTTTAAGTTGTTTGAGAGAAATTTTTAGCTAATAAGTTTATGATCCAGATGATGCCTGTGGATTTCCTTCATCTTAAGGTCTAGGTAAAATTTCCAAAAGTCCATCAGTATCAAAAAGTATGGAAGTTTAAAACAAATGTTTCTGGTTATTTCCATAGGCAATTTTCCTGCTCATCTAGCCCTGTCACATTACCTGGCCAGAAAGCCGGCTTTCTAATCAACAAAGTCATGAACTTGAAATACTGGCAGATTTAAGAGAGCCAGAACAAAAGACAGTGAGCGCTGAACACGCCACCAAGAATCCATATAAGTAGCCTGCCATTCTCCTCTCTTGAAAAAAACATTTATTTTTATTTTTTATGTGTATGACTATTTTGCCTGCATGTATGTAGGTGCATGTGATGCCCACAGAGACCCAGAAGAAGGCATCATATTTCTTGGAACTGGAGCTAGACAGTTGTTAGCTGGCATTTGGGTATTCGTAACTGAACCCAAGTTCTCTACAGGAGCAGTCAGTGCTCTTAATCGCTGAGCCATCTCTCCTACTACTCACCCTCCTTTCTTTACTAGTTACCTTCTCCACTCAAGATTCCCCAAGGTCTCCAGATGATCCTGCCATGGACAGAGCAGAGTCCTCAGGTTTACCTTCCACATCCAGCACTCATATCACAATATTCTCATCAATAATATTTTTGCCCTAAGAAATATTTATAAATTCAAAGTCATAGTTAACCAGTTGTTGGATGACTATTTCCTGTGAGTTGAAATATTCCTTCCTGGAGGAAGGATGGAGGTGCAAAGACTCAGGAAGCTCTGAAAGTTGAAAGATTCACAATGTTCTTCCCAGAAGTTTTAAAGGCAGTAAGGAATTAATGGATGGAAGTGATGCTTTGGTGCCTGCAAGTTGTGCAGGAAGTTCCAGGGATACAGCTTTCATGTGTGGTCACCCCTGGCTGGATGAGCCACTTTGGTGATGCAGCTGCCTTAGAGTCACACACTCCTGCAACTCCTCACTCATGCTCCTGTAGGTAGCCCCAGTAAGCTCGGGTCACCAAGCTAGACTTGTTGGAATCATTGTGTTGATCTGTCATTCACGTGTATCTGGGTTAATAGACATTTGTTCACATTGCCTCAAGAAAAGTCAGAGAACAGCACTCCTTTCGGGAATGGAGCTCACCTTTGGTGATTGAGACTATCTTTCTAAATGACTGTTTAAATTGTTCTTTAATTTTCATATTGTGGTAACACATAATGTGTAAAATTCATCACTGTAACCATTTCTTGAAATGGTAAAAATTAACTTAATCACTTTAAATGCACATTTGAGCCACATTGAAGACATTCATACTGCTGTGCGATCATCTATCCTCACCCTATCTTCATTGTCCCAAAGTGAAACATATCCGTGTAACACGGAAGTTCCTCCAAAAAGCTGGAGTTGATCCAGGATGGGCATGGGCAACACAGAGTGCACTGGGAAAAAGGGGTGAAGCTGCTTCCATATTGAGTGGGGAACAGCGGGGCAAGTGAGAGAGATGTCACCTCATGGACCCCACACGGTCTCGGCAGGGTGAGATAGAGTGGGGAACTGGAGCAGTGAACTGGGGGCTGGTGGCTGCGCATGAAAAGCTGGCTGTGTGAGCAAGCAGAGACTGAGGGCAGGAGGTGGATGGCACGTGCATTTCAAGTTTTGAAAAGGAAAAACCTATAAGAATCCATGTCTTT